GCCACCAGCTTAATTTGGGAAAACTACATAGACTAAGAAAAAAATTAAAAATTGGCGAAAGAAGTCCCAAGTCCAGCTCTTGAGGTCCTTTTATAACTGAGTGAGAGGTTTTTTAATGGTTGATGAAAGCTCCAAATGGTGCAATCTCAGAATTGGTGCTAGAAGATGCACAGCTACCCAGAACTAGTGCTGCATGAGCTGGAATTTCCAGTTGGCTTTTTCCCATGTGCAGCCTTGTTTTGCTGGCCCAATAAGGTGTCTTCAAAGCTTCATGTGTGAAGTGAGTTGTCAAGCTTCTAGAGCTTTCAAAGGTTGCATTTTTAGCTGTCCAAATGGGCCAATAAGCTGAGGCAGAAAACTTGGACAAATGGTGACAAGTTCGGCACATTACTGGAGAGGTAGCTTGTTCTTTCTCATGCGGTGCATATGATTGGCTTAGGTGGCTCCAATACCGTGCCTTTGAAATGCCAAGTTAGCCTCTAGCTCAGCTTGTTCTCCTTCCTTCAGAATTTGAGCAAAAACCGTGACATATGGGGCTAGGACAACAACAGATTTTTTTGTCTTTTTGTGCAACAAACAGCTAAAATTTTCCTTTGTTCTCCTTGCGCATTGGCTTGGCTCTCTATGGCTTTCTTTACAAGGAGTAAGAAATTGGCAGCTTGCAATTTTTAGCTCATGTGATAAGCTTTCTTTGTGAGCTTTATGCTACCTTCTTGAACAATGAAATTGCTTAAGTATTCCACATCACCACTAAAAATTTCAGCTCTCAAATTTCTTCCAAAAGCCTCAAATGACGGCAGCTAAAAAATTCTCCAATTTAAATCTCTTAGGTTGATCTCATTTATGTGCATCCACAATATAGTCTACCAATTTTCACTTTTTCTCCATTCATTTCTTTGACTTGATCAAGATTAAAATAATTTTCCAAAGAGCTGAAGATTACCATTGATTCATACTACCATGAAGTCAAATAAGTCAACCCTCAAAAGTCAACTTTTTTCTATGATCCACTTAGCTCAACTTTAATATTTTTAGTCTCATGGTATCCTTTAATCCATCAAATTAATGCTTAAAGACCTTGATTCTCTTATTTAAATTATTAACCTACACATCACAAAATAAACAAGTTTAAGAAAATTTGCAAAAAATTACTAAAGAATAAGCTTAAATTAAATCTAAAATGTTAAAATTCATACAATAAGATCTAAGATAATTCTATAAAATATAGAATTATCAGGTAGGGTGGTAGGCTACTTCAAGGGAAGGAAAAGAGGGTGGTGTTTTAGCCATTTGGAAGTTGAGTTTGATTGTTGAGAGAGATAAGGCAGAAAATTGAGTCTGAGAGTGAGATGAGAAGACAGATTAAAGTGTGAGAATGAGACTAAGAAAAGAAGAAAATAAATGAGTTGCGAGACAGGGTAGGGGATCAAGGGGACTAGGGAGAAAATTTTTGGTACATGTGGAGTGCGTGACTAAGTGAAACATGAATGGGGAGGGGTTTTGTTACTTTGCAATTTTTTTTTTTTAATTTAGGGAATAATTTATTAATGGAAGGAACTTTTAAAAATTTTAATTGGAAGAAAATTTTATGAGGAAGTTTTAAATTAAATAAATTTAACATAGAGAGATTTTAAAGAAAAAGGTTTGATGAAAATTGAAGAGATAAAGTTTTTGTATAATTTAGTTAAAGTTAAGTGATTATACGTTGATTTTATTATTTATTAATTTATGATTTTGTATTTAAATTTTAGCGTTTTTTGTTTTGTTAGTTGTATTATTTTTAATTTTTTTAGTATATTAGATTAGTTATTATTATTTTTTGTGCAATTAAATAAGAATTGAAAATGCCATTCATTATATAATAATTTAAAAGTAATGTATGATAAAACGTTAAATCAATTAATAGGCAAAAAAAAAAAAACTTAATAAATTGAGCATTTAAAAATCTATTACTCTTATGATTAAAAACTAAAACTTAAGAAATTTAAAGTAGATTAAATTTTGAATGATTGAATGAGTAACATAGTGCTAAATTCAAATTCATTTTTCGTTTATACTAAATATGAAGCATGTCGTAACTTAAGGAGTTACCCAGTAAAAGAGTATAAGGTGAGCCAAGTGTTAATATTTTAAGTTTGTAATATTATTAAATATAAATGCTTGGCATATAACTTATCCTATTTTATTAATATTTGATTTATTTGAAGTTAATATTAAATATAAACTTGACTCATGTAAGGATTTACTGTTAAATAAAATATTAATATTTTATTATAATCTTTAAAAAATATGAATAAAATTTTCTCAATTAAATAAAAGATATAAGGTATTATAAGCTACTTTAAAAATTATAAAATAAAAGTTTTTATAATTATAATTATAATACTATATTTTATAGTAAGTTATATAAAATTAAAAAAGATTTATGACAACAATAATTATGATAATTTTTATCATATCTGTAATAATGATAAATAAGATTGAAAATCCGATCGCAAGCACAATTTAAATTCCTAATGTAAGAAGGGCTAAAAGGGAGAAAGAAGGTAGGCAAAAGCCGCGAAACAGAGAGGCAAAATTGTGAAATGAAATTAGGGCTGAGGGCAGTGTTAAAAACCTCGCAATGAAGCAGTGCATTTTTTAGGTACATTTTGCTATTTATTCAATTATTCAGTTACTTTAATTTTCTTAATTGAAGATTGAAATTTTTCCAAAATTATTTTTGAAAATTTATGTAAATTAATTTAATTACTGATCGATTAACTAAATTAAATTGGTTTGATAAATTAATTCGATTTTTAATTCGGTTAAAATTGAATTTTGAACACCTTATGTTTAAGGGATCTCCAATGTTTACACTTCAATACTTAAATTAATATGTACTCTTGAGTAGAAGAATAAGTGAGTCAAGTCGAGTTAATACATTATGATACTCAAACTCGATTTAAAATTTAAAATTTAAAATTTAATATAAACTCGATCAACTTTTATTTTTTAAATTCGAACTCAACTCGAAATAGAGTTCAAAGAGAATTTTAATTCGTTTGATTAAACTTGAATCATAATAAAAAAATTTCATGTTAGAGAGATCTAATGACTGATTGTTCAAGACAATGATACTTAGCAAATTAAATCCAAATATCAAATCTAAAAAATACTAAACCAAAAAAAATTGAAGATCCAAATAATCAAATCTAAGAAAATACTAAACCAGAAAAAATTTGAAAGAGCACACACGTCTCTGCATTTTATTTGAGTAGTATAGATTGCTGTAAAATAATATAATAAAACTCGCAAGTAAGCAGCAGACTTTTATATTTGAACAGCCTCTGGGAATTCCCACATCATCAGTTACGAAGTCTTGAGGTGGCATTGGTTTTCCACATCATCCTTGGAGTTTCTTTAATGGTTCAAGCCTCTCTTTGTATGAAAAAAATATAAGGAAAAAATAACTCAAGACCCACAACGTAATGGGAAGGCATTAATGATTGCAGAAACATAAAATGATGGGATAATTCATGAGGTAAACTAACACTTTGATACTTGGCAGGCAAAGAGTTGGATCTTACATTTTTTAACGAGGATTCGACTTGCAACAAAAAATGACAAAGAGTTTATGCAGCAAAAGAAGAGAAAGCACCTATAGTTTAGGGCGAAAGTATCTGCCAGAGAGTAGGGATGCCGAATGTCGGTATGGGATCGGAACCCGACATATAGGAAGGAGCGTCGTTTAGGTAGGGGGAGGGGGATTCGAAGGAGAGACTCGATAGATTTAGGGTTTTCTGGTTACGTATATTTATTTTTTAAAATGATAAAATATATATTAAATAAAAAAATTCAAATAAACATATAAATTGCTTTATATCATGCATTAATATACTTAAAATTTAACTTATCCAATAAATCAAATTATTTGAACTCCAATTTAATTTAACAATGATTTAATTAAATTTAAATTTTTCATTAATTAAATTTGAATATTTTACTAGTAGACATGATAACTTAAATATTTATATTGTATAAAATGTTAACGATGCATATATTTATATTATATTTTATAAAAATATTATATTTTATAATTCGTATCAATATAAAAATATAAAAAATATATTTTATTAAATTCATTTATAATTTTTATTAAAATTTTAAATTATATTATTTTTATATTTTTATATCAATTTTATAATATATTATCATATTATATTTTTAATTATTATATATATTTACCAGCAGTAATATATTATTACACCCGAGAGGGGAATCCTATGCGAAGACGAGAAGAGTGAAACTGGCTCCTTTGGATTATGGAGGCCTTTATATGGACGGTCCTCAGTCCTTCGTAGAGAGTTGCATCCGTGGAATATGGTCTGGCCATTGGCAGTGATCTTTGTACTTTTCTAAATGAGATAACGATAATGCCTATGACGTGCCTTGTACGATGGGGCTAGAAATAGTATCATACTATGATTTTTTCCTGGTTTCCTTATCGGCAGTCTTGGTCCTCAACACAGGCCTATAACACATGAAAATTTTCTCTAAGGTTTCTTATATCGATCTCGAGTTCAAGGTGATCAAGTTTCGCCCTTTTACAATAAGGGGCAATTTAACAGTTGCTACTAATTATGGTCCTTCCTAATCGTAGTTATCAACTTATTTTTAGTTTAACAGAGCCAGTCTTTGTCTCTTTGAAATTTTGTAAGTATAAAAAAATTATAATTAAATATTACATTTATATATTTGACTAAACAATCAGTTATTACATCATAATTATATTAATGAATAATCAACTAATTAATTAACATAAACATAATTAAACAATTAAATTTACATATAATAAAACATTAATCTAAAATCTCTATATTCTAAGTTCTCAAGGTTCTATAAACTTAATTATCAAGTACTAGTATCCAGCTTTTTTTTATTTATTTAAGATTATTAAAAATTAAATCTATTTTCGGTCTATGTTTTTATTTTAAAAAAATTATTCTCTTTTCATCAAGGAGCATTTGTTCATAATCTGCACCATCAAAACAAGACTGACGAGTAAATAACGCCAAAGACTAGCAAAGAACATAAAGTCTACTCTCTCTATCTCTCCCTCTCCGATAATGCGGATACCCTATCATTTACAATGACATTGAGAAGAGCCCTGAAAAGTGGAGCAAAAAGTTTCATATCTTCAACATTAAAGCCTCCCAAAAGGTTCATATTGATTTGCACCTATATTTCTCACTTTCTTTAAATCAAACTTAAAACACCATTTTCCTGTTGGCACTAAAACAGTAGCAAAGAGAGATAGTTTTAGGTTTTGAAGATATGAAGGCCACCATTTTCGTGTATACTTAAAAACGTGGAGTCGATATTAAGTTGAAATCTTACATTAGTAGCCATTAATACGGCTTCCCAACCAACACTATCTCTCTATTGGCTACTGCTTTTCTCATTCCATTTATTACCTTTTTGCCATTTTCTGATGATGGGTCCTCATGGTTGGATCTTCCTTTGTTATTGTGGTTTAATTCTTTCCTTTTCATTTAATAAATATTTGAATTGATTGTACTCACTGTCCCCAAGAAGCTGAATTCTCTTCTCTCTCATTTTTTAAGCTTCCATAACTCATACTGTTATGATATCAGGTAGAACTTTTTGTTCTTCAATCTTCAGTGATGTGAGAGTAAAGTTGGTGAAATAGTTACTCTTGGAACTCTGAATCCAAAGTGCCTTAGTATAGAGAGGTATGTAACCTGTTCTTGTTTCCCTTTCTCAGTCATTTATTAAAGATATCGGTAGAACTTAGAGAGCATGCGTTTCACTTTTTTTTTTTTTTTGCAACATAGGTATGCTCAGTAGCCGTACTCAGATTTTAATTTCTAACTCAATGATTTAACATATGGTCCCAAATTGTTACCTAAACCAATATAATAGAAGCTTAGTCTTCCTTTATTTTTAGTAGAAACTTGATGGAACTACAGGGTTTGAAGCAAACTTGAAAAGCCATTGAATTTAGATGGAAATGGTTGCCAAGCAATTTAAATTTCCTTATTTGTATCCTTAGGGATATAAAGGTTAAGAGAGTTTTAAATTTTCCAGGAAGCTAAAGAAATATGGGTACCAGAGAAATCAAGTCGGCTGAAGATCTGCGTGAGACACCAGCTAGTTTGGATGGAATGTCTGACTCTGTTCACAGAAAGAAACTCGGAGTGTATTTTATCGAGTCTGATAATAGGCGAACGGCTTTTGGGCGTGGTTATACTGGGGGGACGACGCCCGTTAATATCCATGGGAAGCCCATTGCAGATCTCTCAAAGACGGGTGGATGGGCTGCTGCCTTCTTCATTTTTGGTAAATGAAGTCTCTCTTTATATATAACATAAGTTTATTCTACTTTAGCTTACCATCTGTTTAGTTGTTGAGAATCGGAGAGAAAATTTAAAGTACTACTGGAAGTGTTGTGTTCTATGGTAGTATGTTTTTGCTAATTTGTGCAGTTGAGTCATGAGTGTTATACTGTTCTATGAGTTGTAAGGTGTTGCACGCGTGCGTTTTCTCAAAATTAAAGCTTTTTGGAGAAGAGAATCTCATGGTGAACTTGACTCTTTTTCCATCTAGGAAATGAGATGGCAGAACGAATGGCTTATTTTGGCCTTTCAGTGAACATGGTAGCCTTTATGTTCTATGTTATGCATAGACCCTTTTCAAGTTCTTCAAATGCAGTTAACAATTTCCTCGGGATATCTCAAGCATCATCTGTCCTTGGCGGTTTTCTTGCCGACGCCTATCTTGGTCGATATTGGACAATAGCGATTTTCACCACAATCTATCTTGCGGTGAGATATCCCTATAGAACCCATTGTTTTTCCAAGAGACCTTATAAAACCATTGCTAAGTAACAGTTTCCTTCGTTTTTAACCACTGTTCAATCTTTTTCCCTACAGGGTTTGACAGGGATAACTTTATGTGCAACGATGAAAATTTTTGTGCCAAATCAAGATCAATGCGATCAGCTGTCCCTCGTTCTGGGTAGTTGCCAGCCAGCAAAACCATGGCAGATGCTTTATCTCTACACGGTCCTTTATATAACTGCTTTTGGAGCCGCAGGTATAAGGCCCTGCGTCTCTTCTTTTGGGGCTGATCAGTTTGATGAAAGAAGTAAAGATTACAAGACTCTCCTGGATAGATTTTTCAACTTCTTTTATCTCTCTGTTACTATTGGGGCCATTGTGGCATTCACTTTGGTAGTCTTCATTCAGATAAAGTGTGGGTGGGGAGCTGCCTTCGGTTCATTGGCTATAGCTATGGGCATATCCAACATGTTATTCTTTGCTGGTACTCCTTTATACAGGCATAGGTTGCCAGGAGGCAGCCCCCTAACGCGAGTTGCCCAGGTTCTGGTTGCTGCCTTCAAGAAGCGAAATATCCCTTTTACTAGGAGCGAGTTAGTAGGCCTGTACGAGCTCCCTGGAAGGCATTCTGCTATAAAGGGTAGTGGGAAGATACCTCACACTGATGATTTCAGGTATAATGTGCTCTTATTCATTCTATTTCCATTTCTTAGTTATGTGGATAAATTTCAGATCAAATTGATTTATGTTACTACTCATTAGTCAGCTTGATTCGAGACTTCTGATTTTTAATTTTCCTTTTTTTATTGCTTGTAGATGCTTGGACAAGGCAGCTCTCCAACTGAAGGAAGACGGAAATAATCCAAGTCCCTGGAGGCTTTGCACAGTAACTCAAGTAGAGGAAGTCAAGATACTCGTTAAACTTATTCCGATACCAGCTTGCACAATAATGCTCAATGTTGTCTTAACAGAATTTTTAACTCTCTCGGTACAGCAGGCATATACTTTGAATACTCACATTGGTAAACTGAAACTCCCAGTTACATGCATGCCTGTATTTCCTGGCCTCAGCATTTTTCTTATACTGTGTCTATATTACTCTCTATTTGTTCCTATATCCCGACGAATCACTGGTCATCCCCATGGTGCTTCTCAGCTTCAGAGAGTAGGCATTGGTCTGTTTATTTCGATCTTATCTGTGGCCTGGGCTGGGGCTTTTGAAAGGTTTCGAAGAGGCTATGCTACAAGACATGGGTATGAATTTGGTTTCCTAACTCCTATGCCTGATCTAAGTGCATACTGGTTGTTGATTCAATACTGCCTGATCGGTATAGCTGAAGTATTTTGCATAGTTGGCCTACTAGAATTCCTGTACGAGGAAGCTCCTGATGCAATGAAGAGTATAGGCTCTGCATACGCTGCTCTAGCTGGTGGCTTGGGTTGTTTTGTTGCCAGTATAATAAACAATATCATCAAATCTGTTACAAGGAACCCCGAGAACAGGCAGCAGTCTTGGCTATCTCAGAATATAAACACTGGGAAATTCGATTGCTTTTACTGGCTACTGGCAGTTCTTTGTGTAATCAATTTCTGCATTTTCCTGTATTCAGCACATAGGTACAAATACAGGACAGAGCAGACTTTTGATGTGAAAGAAACCAAACCAGTTGGGGAAAACTAAATAAACATCAAGAATTTAGGTTGCATACATATGTTCTTTTCCCTTATTCGATAACCCTCCACAATAACATATTCTAGTTCGTTGAAAGGGTAATTTTTTTGCAAGGGAGCAAATGCTCTAAAATATGTGGTAGCATTGGCTTCTCTTACCTTAGATCTTCTAAGGTTGGTTGGTTGCATAGGCTTTTCAGCATCGCCAGCTGTGCAGGTTGCCTTCTTCAACTACTACTGGCTGATCGATAGCTCATGTTCCCTGCGTGTTTTAAAGACCACCAAATGTAAGATCCACAAATAATATAAATGAAAATGCCTTATGACCCTACAATGGACTCCCACTTCATGTGTCGATTCATTAACTGATAACTGGTCAAGACTTTTCCAATATGTTGGGTCCTACGTTATAAAGAGAAAGCTCCGAAAGATCTCATCAAGGTGGTTGGAGTCATATACTAAATTGAAGTCTACAATAACACTAATATCTTGGAAAAAGGATTCTGCTATTGGCACGTTAGCACAGTGCTAAAATCTCGAATCTAAATTAGGCACTAGTTGGTGAAAACGAACCTACTATAATTGGTCGATGGGCAAATAAATAAATCATGGGTATATCACTGATAAAAGCTCAGATATTCAGCATCAAACTACCAGCTTCCTCAAATTCAAGCTCAAATGAGCACTACGAGTCTTGGAATTAATCCGAAAGCACATTGAAATATGAATCTTCGATATTCTAATCTAATATTTGTTAAAGAACCACCGAACTTATTAGATAAATCTAGCCAACAAGGAAAAAGCTTGTTTGATAGAATCTCAAGCAGCACATCTATAATTTAATCCATTGATTTTTCCGCACCGAATTTCTGGAAAGAACAAAAGCAGAATGTTCAAAGTCTTCAAACTATTGTTGTAACTTAATAAGTTGAAGCACTAAAACATTATGGTGCCCATAACATTGACCTGGTCCACAAGCATATACTATTATGGCATGGAAGAGAAGAAAAGTTCTTGCAACAATGATGTTGTATATTGCAACAATAGGATCGTTCCCTTTGTAAGGGATTACTAAAAATAAATAGTGCATAGCTCAAGCATAAACTAAGATATCCTAGTTGGTGCTCAAAACTCAAGAAGCCTCTTGGCATAAATGTTGAGCATGTAACTTGACGTTTATGAAAGGTATACCTTTCACTGTAGTAGTTTATTTTAGTAAACCTTGCTACAGTAACTTTTTCTTCTGTGGATGGATCAATGATATGATAACAATTTCATAACCTTCTTGATGCAAAGGATTCACTATTATGACAATTGTAGAGCATACTATTTATGTCACTGCAAATCATGATCGAGTAATAGATTGATCAACTCTTTATATTGGGTGTCATAACATAAAAATCTGTAGACCTATCGTTAGATATTGACTTAAGGAGTCACCACTTTTTTTTTTTTATTTAGGTGTAATTCGCCACCTAATTGAATCTGTCTTGTTTTAAAAAGAAATCCTAAGTTTGACTCAAATATCTTTAAAAAGTAGATTCAATGTCTACAAAACTAAAACTAGGTCTGGGAGTATGGTTACATGTGAAGAAGGTTATAGCACTCCTACAACACCCATCAAAAGATAGTACCAACTTGATTTCAACCTTAAAAATTTAACAGATAGTTAATAATTGAAAATTATACTTAATTGACTCTAATACTTTTGACAGAAAATTAAATAAATCTCCTCACCTCAAGAATATACAAGAAAATTACTTTTCTCTTACAATGGCTCTATCGTCAGATTATTTAACATTTAAAAAAATTCCAAGAAAAAATTAATACTTTAACTTTTTTCTAAGATTTCTTTCCTAATTTTATTTTTTTAAAAAAGGATTAATGCATTTATTCAAGGAAAATTGATACCTTCAACTTTTCCTAAAAAAATATTTTTTGAAATTTTTATTTAAAAAAAAATTGATACTCTAAACTTTTTCTCAAAAAATATCTTTTGAAAATTTTATCTTCAAAGAAAATTGATACTTTTAATTTTTCCTCAAAGAAACATTTTTTGAAATTTTCATTTTCAAGAAAAATTGATACTTTCAACTTTTCATTAAAAATGTTTCTTGTGAAATACATTTTTTAATTTTATTTTCTAAGAAAAATTGATACTTTTAACTTTTCCTTAAAATCCCTTTTTTATTATTGAAGTTATTTAAAGAAAATTGATACTTCAACTTTTCCTCAAAAATTTTTTTAAAAATTTTTATTTTTAAGAAAAATTGATTCTTTAACTTTTTTGAAATTTTAAAATTATTTTTATTTTTATTTTTTTAGAATAAAGATTTACCAAAAAAATAATTAAGTAAATAAACAAAATAACACAAGAAAATACCAAACAAGTCCTAGCTCGGCTTGGCTTGCTACAAGAGTGAATGAGGCTTGGTGGCTTTTTTTTTGGTATTCCAAAATGCTTAAGAAGGTTTATGGGTTTTTTCAAATTTTGGTGCATCATCGACACCATCAACGTCACAAGTCACCACCACCACCCTGGTTTTTGTTTTTTTGCTTTTTCTTTTCTTCAACCTCAAAATTCTAGTCAAGAATCCTACATTTGAAACCCCACTCTTTGATCGTTGTCATTCTGCTGATGTGAGTCACAACAGAATCCTACACATGAAACCCTACTCTTTGATCATTGTTGTTCTGTTGATGTGAGTTGCAACAGAATCCTACACTTAAAACCCTACTCTTTGATAATCCCTATTTAGTGGACGTAAATCATAATAAAATATTGCACCTGAAACCCTAAACCCTATTGTTTGATTACCATTGCTTTGTCGACGTAAGTCACAACCACCAATGCCTTCTTTGCCACTTATTATGATTGTTTTTAGGTTAATGGTGGGTTATCTATTGAGTTTCAGGTATTTTGGGTTTTGGGTATGTCATTGGTGATTGATTTTTGATAGTGGGTGTTTAGGCTACAAACATGCCAATTTTAATAGTGGTAGGATTAGGCAGTTTGGTGGAGAAAAGAACAAAAATGAGGTGGAGCTGCCTGTAGTTGTTGGGTTTTGCTCTATATTGTTCACTTTGTGCATTTTTTGCTTTGTCCTTTTTCACTCTCGAACCAAAGTTTAAATAACATGCACATGCATGTGAATGACACAAGAAACAAAATAAATAAATAAACAAAAATCTTTTTAAAAGATCAATTTTATTAGGCTTTTAGATAACACAAATTTATTTGCTAGCTTGACTCTCGTCATGTCCCTAGTGGAGTCACCAAACTGTCATAACGTTTAGATTCATGAACTTATTGCTAGATATTGACTTAAAGAGTCACCACCAATCTTTTTTATTTAGGTGCGATTGGCCACCTAACTGAATCTGTCTCATTTTAAAGAGAAATCCTAAATTTGACTCATGTATCTTTAAAAGCTAGATTCAACGTCTATAAAGCCAAAATTAGGTCCGAGATACGATTACGTGTGAGGAAGGCTATAGCACCCCTACAACGCCCATCAATAGATGGTACTAGCCTGATTTCATGTTATCCATTGAACCTTAAAAATCTTACCAGATAGTTAATTATTAGAAATTATTCTTAATTGACTCTAATACTTTTGATAAAAAATTAAAAAAATTTCCTAACCTTAAGAGTATCTAAGAAAACTATTGTTTCTCTTGCATGGGCTTCATCATCTGATTATTTAACATTTAATAAAATTTCAAGAAAAAAATTAATACTTTAACTTTTTCTAAGATTGCTTTCTTTATTTTATTTTTTAAAAGGATTAATGTCTTCATTCAAGGAAATTAGATACTTTCAACTTTTCTTCAAAAAACACATTTTCAAAATTTTATTTTCAAGAAAAATTAATACTCTCAACTTTTCCTAAAAAAATATCTTTTGAAAATTTTATCTTTAAGAAAAATTGATACTTTCAACTTTTCCTCAAAAAAATATTTTTTTAAATTTTTATTTTCAAGAAAAATTGATACTTTCAACTTTTTTTTAAAAGCGTTTCTTGTTAAATACATTTTTAAAATTTTATTTTCTAAGAAAAATTGATACTTTTAATTTTTCCTTAAAACCCTTTTTTTATTATTGAAGTTATTTAAGGAAAATTGATATCTCAGCTTTTCTTCAAAAATTTTTTTGAAAATTTTTATTTTTAAGAAAAATTGATTCTTTGACTTTTTTGAAAATTTGAAATTATTTTTATTTTTAAAGAACAAAGATTTACCAACAAAATAATTAAGTAAATAAACAAAATAACATAAAAAAATACCAAACAAGTCTCGGCTTGGCTTGGCTCGCTACAAGAGTGAATAAGGCTTGGTGGCTCTTTTTCTGGTAATCCAAAACGCTTAAAAAGGTTTATAGGTTTTTTCAGATTTTGGTGCATCATCAACACCATTAGCATCACAAGTCACCACCGCCACCTTTTTTTTTGGTTTTTGGTTTTTCCTTTCTTCTACCTTAAAATTCTAGTCAAGAATCCTGCACCTGAAACCCCACTCTTTGATCGTTGTCATTCTGTTAATGTGAGTCACAATAGAATCCTGCACCTGAAATCATACTTTTGATCATTGTCGTTCTATCGATGTGAGTCGTAACAGAATCTTACACCTAAAACCCTACTCTTTGATTGCATCCGTTCTGTAAATGTAAGTCACAACAAAATATTACACCTTAAACCCTAAAACCCTATTGTTTGATCATTGTCACTCCATCTATGTAAGTCACAACCACCACTGCCTTTTTTGCTGCTTATTATGACTAATTTTAGGTTGATGGTGGGTTATCTATTGAGTTTCGTGTATTCTGAGTTTTGGGTATGTCGTGGGTGATTGATTTTTGATAGTGGGTGTTTGGACTATGATCACACCAATTTCATTGGTGGTAGGATTAGGTAGTTTGGTGGAGAAAAGAACAAAAATGAGGTGGAGTTGCCAGTAGTTGGGTTTTGCTTTGTATTTTTCACTTTGTGTGTTTTTCACTCTGTCCTTTTTCACTCTCGAACCAGGGTTTAAATAACATGATGAAGATAGGATTTCAATTAAAAAAAATGAGCATCATATCCCCTATAATATGAATTTTGAGTTTTAAAAAAAAAAGCACCGAAGTTTTAAAGATTTAATCCGATGCTTTAAATTTCAAACACATACCCTTATCACTTGATTTATCCCTTTTTTATTCTTTTTATTTATTTTTTTGAAAAATTTTAATAGAGACAAAACAATTACAAATGGCCTGGTCTAATACAAAATATAATCTAGCCCTGAAACTCAAATGCTAAATCCAAATCTAAATAGGTTGGGTCTA